TAGAAATGGTTAACGGTTGAGTTGTATATCGTTTAGCAATCACTTATTGAATGGTATGATTTTGAGTTGAAGAAAGAGAGATCGTGTCATAATTTTGGAGATAGATATTACGACATTATAAGTACGAACGCTTTCACGTCTGGTGTTAATTAAACTAAAACTAATACTAGCACTATCACTAGAACTAACACTAAACCTACAACTAAAAACTTTCGGGTTAAGTCTTTTGAAAAAGTGTTTAACGTTTCGGATGCCATGATGCAACCTTCTTCGAAGTTTGAAGTCTTGTTTCAAACTGCAATACCACCCTGACCTATAAAAAATCTCAAATATTAACGGCTATTTTATAATATTAACAGTAATTTGATTTCTGTCAACATGTTACTCACTCATTTTAGTAAACAAGATATTTTGTCTTGTATTAAGGTTTATCAACAAAGAGTGTTGATGCGGTAATACGGACTGTTGTGTCTAACCAGTTACTCTACTACACACATTTAGTAATTCACGAAGCATTATCAGGATATAAATTACGATTTCAGTCTGTCAATGAGTAAGAGGTGAATATGCTTAACGAGTAAGTGTAAAAAGTGTGCGGAAACATAATTCCAAAATCTTGTGTTCAAATTACTAATACAAAAAAAAAAGTGTAACCGTACCATAGAAATCAGGGTTAGAAGGATGTGTTGTAAATCCATCTTTCTTCAAAATAGTCCAAGTAGCATTGAAGATTTCTTTAGATATTTATTCCATAAATAAGAAAAATATAAATATGGTGGCACGATAGGCAATTAAATAATATATTCACTATATACATACGATATTCCATAAGATATAAAGTTCACGATGACCACATTTGCTGACGATACTGCTCTTGTTGTTAAAAAGTAATAATATGTGTATAATACCAAATATATTATAATTATTACAAATGTATTATTATAATATTGATATATGAAAATATGAAAACAGATGTGAAATTGCTATGGAGAGAATGAATGAAAAAGAAAAAACGATAGTTATAGCTCCACTGCGAATATATTGTATTCAAAGCTGTAGGGCTAAAAATGTCTAGCCCATTTCTGTATCAGTCCTTCAACAATACTTTTTTTTCTGCTGCACCTTGTATAGTTTCCGATATTTCTGGTGGTTTTTATGACTTCATTGCAGTGATATAACTAACAAAGACGGGGTTGTATACAGGTAGTTTACGAACTCCAATTCTGGCGTGAGTTGTTCAGATCCGCATTAACGCAAATTACAAAAACATAATATTTAAAAACTTAAATACCATTACTTTGTGTGAAAATACAAATTTATTTAAAATTTGTATTTTTCGAATGTAAACAATAATTGATACTCTAAATACTGTTTAAGTGTTTTTAATTTAATATATAATAAAAAAAGTAGTGCGTCCCTGCACCTAGTTCACTAGGTGGGCCTATCATAAATCACGTCTAGGTACTTTTTCGGGGTGATAATTACTGCCACTACTGTTTCTGAGGGTCATAAAAAAAATATCGGAAACTATATAATCAAATGCTAAAACCTATAAGAGCTTATGATAACTTACCTAAGCAAGATGATGTTGCAAAATGCCATATCTACTTAGTCAAGGTAAGGCGTACAATATAATGTACAATATAAAGTATAACAGAATATATTAATAAACCGTGATACGATTGTAATAACAAACTCCAACGGGATTTTGGAGTCAAGTACATTGTAATCTTGTTATTGCCGGATTGTTTTACTAAAACTCAAAAACATACTAACACACTGATCTTAGGTGGCGCTACTTATTTTAGAAGCAAACCTCTGCCACCTGTAGGATTTAATTTCGCTTCTAGTAACACTCCTGCACTACTAGTAATCAAAAAACAGTAAATTTGTCGCTATAATTAATTTGTCAACTAGTAATCAACTGTTTATTAAGCCCATATTAAGTAACTGGTACTAAATTTTATAACTTCTTTGTATAAATAAAATTTTGTATCTACATATCACAGTGTGCACCAAATAAGCACTCCCATAGGTAATTTAGGTATGTTAGGTATATTCATTTACCATCATCAGGGCAAGGTTGATAGAAAAATCGTTGTTTGCCGTTTTTGCTTCCTGTTGTCATCAACGTTGATTACAAGATCAGAAGACGTTATTCAAACCAATTGTAAGAAAAAAATAAATTCTCTTAGATTCCCGGCGCGTCGCTAAAGATGCAAAGTTATAATGCAGGGTGATTCATGGCAGACACGAAATTAAAATCAGTTTAATTGTGAAAAATAATAAATAATGCCCTGGAAGTGATGTTCATTCAAGTAGTTGAATGCTCTGCATAAGTTTCTTCTCAGTATAATTTATCACATTATCCAACATGTCTGCAAGTATGGCAGTAATTTCATGAATAGATACAAAAAACTCATACACATGTAAGTCCGTAGATCTTTGAGACTATGTAACATTGGCAAATCATGAAATTATTATGTGTCCAAGGAACATGATTACACATATTTGTAGTGTGTGCTGCAAATAGAATACCGACTAGCGCTATTAGTGCTGTTGAAACTAAACATTTAAAGGGGTTCTTTGTCTACGCAGTTCTAGCTTGAAAATGCTCGAAGTTTGTGAATGAATTGTTACAAATTAACAAACATTAAATTACCTTCAGATAATATTACACTCTTTTTATCTCCTGATTATTTTCGAATATTTTTCTTTTAGTTTTATTAACTGCTTGATCTTTCTGCTTGTTCAAATTGTGGTTGATCATTCCAAAATAACCCCATCTTAAAATTCAAAGTTATTGGATTCAACCTAAATAAATCTTCACCAACTACATAATCATTTGTTGGTTCAATATTCAAATCTTCATAGTCGTCTTCATCAGTTGTTGTGATCATTTTTGTTGTTAGAAAGATTGGCGATAATTTCTTCAAATTCCTTCCTAGTCAAATATTTTCCTTCAAAGGCATCTTTTTTTTGTAAAAAACTCGCAAACCATTGTATTATAAAATAAAACAATATATTTATTGCTCGAATTGTATTAGGTATAGCATTACCTGCTTACTTTACATTACGTGTGTTAATTCGTTTTGCATGAGATATTTTCAATCTTTAAGATCCTGATTTTTTAAGTATTAGGGTGCTCAACCATATAGTAGATTCCTTTTCGGAGTTCTAATTTATAGTAACTGTCAACTTTCTGTAAACATCGTAAAGAAACTTTTGTTGTCAAAGGCAACTTATTACAACTTTTGTTATTATTGAAAATCTTGATGTTACAACTAAGGATATGATAAACTCGAGCCTGAAATCAGTATAAAGTGCGTCAACTTACTAATGTTAATCAAACTTGTTATGAAAAGGATGTAAGCAAAAAAATCTATCGAGTTGGACGCGGTAGGCTTCTTCCAAGCATGAAGCATAACATCTTATGATGCAGATTTCATTAATTTCAATTCATTCTGGAAAATGAAAAATTTGAATTTATGTAAGTGGATTTTAATAAGTAAGAAAAGACAATAGATTATGAGAATGATGGGATTTCTATGACAATGTTGCAAAATGCTATGCTTTTCTTACCACATATTGCGCATGTTATTAATCATTGTTAAAATATTATTTTCCTTTTGGTTGGATAGTTTTTATTTCATTTTTTAGTTACACCTCGGCATGCAAAACTGCATTTATAAGCTAACAATTTCCAGATTTATACGTATCTTTGATCAGAAAATGTTGCTATTGCAAATATTCAGAAATTAATAGATATTGCTCTGAAATAACTGCTTAATGTAAATTCTACAAAATTTCTGCTAAGTAACTTGGAATTCGGCAAATACCTTAGATGCTCCGAGCATTTTCTGAAAACAATTAGGCAGAACTCAAACTTTATATTACGGCATATGACACCTGTATGAATACAACTTTCCTTCATCGACTCAACGTATTTAGATACATGTCAAAGGTTCATGTGTCAAGGTTCAGTTACGTACAGTTAAGTATGGAAATGTCGGTTAAATACGACATTATACTTACTTCTTTCTTGCTATAAATTATTACTGTTAAAATACCGTTATATGTATCTATATAATAAAATAATGTTTCTAATAGATAGACAAACTTCTACATTTTGGGAGGCATTCAGGGAGAAATTTATTTATTTGGAGAAAAAGACTGAAATAAATTTTAAAACGATTTGAATCTATAAATATCTATAGATTACACACAAAAATTCATCTAAAATTATGCTTACAATATTATCTTTAAATTAACAAATAACTGATCACATATTTGTTAGTCATCATTCTTAAAAATGATAAATTCAAAAAATAATGTAATCATATCGATCTAACTTATATCTAATAACGATAAAATAAATATCTTTTATATTAAATAAAAAAAGAAAAACAATCCCTTATTTAATTAAATTCAAACTCAACTCATGTTCCCATATTTTTATATGGGGTGATAATATTTATGACAACCAAGAAAATAGGGGACAAAAACATCCCTCGCCGTTATTCACGAATTTCATGTTATAATTTCCACTTTTTTTAGACTCTAATTTGAATATTCATCAAGATTCCCTTTTCAATCTCCCCTTTATCGTCTTTAAACGTGCAAAATTTATGTTTTTAAAGGGACAAAATGCAAATCCATCCACCTACACTTTCAAATTACTCATATACCTATAAACTACAAGTTATTGTCATGGAAATGCGCGTGATCATTGACCCAGTATACACACAGCTCGTCAAATGAGCGCGTTTGTATGTCGTATTTACGTTGTTTGTTGTTGTGTGGATGTTGAGTAATGCAATTCAACAGAGTACAACTCTCCAACACATCGGAATGTCTATTAACTATTTATGTCTCTCTTTGCAAATTGATGTGATGACTCAGTTTAAAGACATTTCAATATATTAAAATATTTAACGACTAAAAAACGCCTTCACAAATTATGACTCCTTTATTAATAAATTTTATTTATTTATTTTTAGCATGCTCTACATCGAAAATAACCTGGATCAATTAGATATTCAAGATGGTGGTGGCCACCCTCAAGTTGTTGGCATAAAAGTGCCCGAATCCCAATGCAACGATAGCTCACCAGATGCTTCTCAAACAGAGTTTAACGTAAACAAAGGTTGGATGAATGGCATTTTTGGTTGTCTTCGTCCGTTTTTGTCAGCAATTGGAAAAGGAGGTGTCAACGAAATCAAAGGAACACCAGATGATTGGGAGATTCCGTTCGAAAATATTAGTGAATTATCGCTTCTTGGAGCTGGAGGACAAGGAGTTGTCTTTTATGGGAAATTAAATAACGAAGAAGTTGCAGTAAAAAAAGTTCAAGATGTTAAAGAGACCGACATCAGGAATTTACGTAAACTGAATCATCCGAATATCATTAAATTTAAGGGAGTTTGTACGCAAAAACCTTGCTATTGTATTGTTATGGAGTATTGCCCTTATGGACCATTATACAACTTGTTGAGGAATAATAGTGATTGCATCACACCAGCTAGAGTTGTAGATTGGTCTAAACAAATCGCTGCGGGGATGCAATATCTCCATGCCCATAAGATCATCCATAGAGATTTAAAAAGTCCCAAGTAAGTACATAAATCGAAAACATCAAATCCTTTTAATAAAAAATTACTTTTTTTTATTGCAGTGTTTTAATTGGTGATGAAAGAATCATAAAAATCAGCGATTTTGGAACTTCAAGAACATGGAACGAAGTAAGTACAAAAATGAGTTTTGGTGGTACAGTTGCGTGGATGGCACCCGAAGCAATAAAAGAATCTCCATGTTCCGAAAAAATTGATATTTGGTCATTTGGCGTGGTTTTATGGGAATTATTAACATGCGAAGTGCCTTACAAAGACATGGAACGAAGTGCAATTATGTACATGGTCGGAATGGGAAAATTAAAACCCCCAATCCCATCAACTTGCCCTGAAGGATTCAAACTTTTAATGAACATGTGCTGGAATTATAATCCAAAAGACAGGCCTTCATTTAAATTAATCAGCAGCCATTTAGAAATTGCTGCAGCAGAAATTTTAAGCCAGTACAAAGACGAGCAATTCTTTAAAACCCAAGAAACATGGAAAGTTGAAATTCAATCGATTATCACCGAATTTAAAATGGAATTGCAAAATAAGCGTAGAGAATTGCAATTGAAAGAGGAGCAATTGATCAAGGAAAGAGAATCAGAATTGAGGCATTTAAGGGATATTAGGGTTTATTATGATAGGAGATTAGCCAAAGTTAATCAAATGTATCAGCAATTGACGTCGGTCTTAACACAACTGGAACACCAACCCAAGGATTTGAGAAGAAGAAAAATTCCATTTATAAATCGAAAAGTTGAAAAAAGAAAATGTGTTCAAAGTAGTACAACACCAACAAGTCCCGATTGTCTTACAAGTCCAGATAGTCCACAAATTGTAAGTATTGATCAATATTTAATATGAACCATTTTCAGTATAACATTTTTGTAGATTCCTTCAAAATCTTCATTATGCGTTAAATTAAATTCATCCAACAAACCGGAATCAACGACAATTTCCCATCACAGTTCAACACGATCCCGAAAGAGACAATACAGCAGTACATCTTCGAGGGTTTCAACACGGTCAAAAGGAACATCAACGGCGCAAATGGTTGATACAGAAACTCAAACTGATTTAAGCGAAAATGATTTTAGCGTTCAAGTATCGCCAACTTCTCCCACTGCTAGGAAATCATTCTCTCAACCACAAAGAGTGGTTTTGGGTATGCCCGAAAACGATGGCGAAGAAAATGTTAACGGAAATACCAGCGTTCAACTACATTATATGGTTCAACATGATGAACCGGAACGTCCTGTTTTTACTAATTTATATTCTAGGGAATCCACTTCAGATCTAGATTTAGATGAAACGGATGATGTGAATAGAAACGCTCAGCCGACGAGAGATTATAGCGATGATGATCGATTAGAAACGATAGGACGAAAAGTTTCGGCTGCTTTAATTGGTGTAACGAACGGAAATATCGTTTCGGATATTCGAACATCGTCGGATAACGGGAATATTACGGATGGTTTGGATTTGGATGAGGTGTTAAGAAAGAGGAGATGTTCGGATACAAGACAAATTATTGATAGCGCTGAAGATATTACGAATGATAGTGTCACAGATGAAGAAGGAGAAGATCAATATAATTATTCCTTGAGAAGGAAAAGGTAAGAAAATTAAATAGGATATTTCTTTTTAAAGTAATGTCAAGTAAATAATAATTTTAAAGTAGCGAAAGTGGAGCGGTTGTGCAAGAAACTTGTTGTGGTTTTTGAACATGTGTACACGTTCTAATATTTCTTTATGTTTTCTCTTTCTCATGCAGTAAGCTTGGGAAAGATCTGCCTAATTTAAAGATAAGGTAAAATTTTATGCATGTTGTGATTGTAATTTATATTTTGTTCTTGTTGTTGCAATTTGTTTATTTTCTTGTTTTGCTTCGTCTGCTGACACAAATATAATTCTATAAAAATACATTTCTTAATATGTTTATGCCATCAATAAATTTAAAGAAGTATAAACATGTTAAAATTTTGAAAGCAATTAAAAGAGTAATAAAATCAGATAAAGAAGTGTGTAATTTTGAACTAGTATGTTAAAATTACAGCTTTTAAATGTTACTGTTACTGCTGTTGCAACATTTCTGATGTTTTATGCAAAAATTAGTGCTTGAATGTTTAATGCAAGAAATATTGGTGGAACATATGGCGTCTTTATTAAATAACACCAAGTCGAATGTTTGCAACAAGATCTTAAGTTTGATCATTTACGTTTTGAAATAAAACAGACTACTTTTTAATTTCATGATTGATGTTAGTAATGGTGTGCAACGTCTCTGGTTTGAGGTTTTCTGCTTGGTTGGTTTGATCTTATCTGTTCTGGAAAGGCGGCTTGCTTGTATTAATAATCATGAAGTATATAACCTATAAAAATAATAATGCGCAAGAAAAATATTACAGACTACCATTTAACGTTTTTTCTAACTGTATTTCTTTTTTGTATCTAGCTTCTTAATATTTTCGACCAAACCTCAACTAATCATTTAAAGCATAACAAGACTTGGAATCACACTTAAATCTACCTCTAAAGCTCGCGTATTATTTATCTATTGATCATGGAGGTTTTACACTGTTGATTCTAAACGTATTATAAAAGTGAAATCTGATAAATCTTAGTATTTCTTCAAAGCGAAACAAAAAATATTGTGGCAAAATCATCATAAAATAGTTCTCTAGCAAATAGTACATTTCAACGTCTTCTTATTCCACCATAAGTAACTAATCATCATAATGGAAAAGGCCATCAAACGCTACATCATTTTAGCGTTTCTAGGTAGTTTTTGTTCCACAACCACGCAATTCTTCTGTATGTGCTGAATAATGTTTTTTAGTTTCAATCTTTTCTATATCATCATTTCCTGTATTGGGTTGATTACATTCATCTGCAGCTGTATCACATTTATCTGTAACTTTTCATCTCGAATGGTTTCACGTTCCTCCATGATGTACCTAGGAGCAAACCATTTGTAACATCACATTATTTCACGTGCTTTACGCTTAAATATTCCTAAACACAATGTTTCTAATGACAACAGTTTTTGTTTTGAACTAAATATGTAAATTTCTTGTTATTTATCCCTGAAAAACTGAATTCTACCAATTGAAAAGATTTGAACCCTTGTAACAACTTCGTATCAATTAAATATTGCTGCCGAAGCAATACCGCGTGATTTTATGATTCAAATAGCGCTCTTATCCAAGCGTTCTCGAAACCTCAAGGTGGTTATTGTGGTATTTCCTGCGATTTTATTATTCGGCGTACAATCTATACCTGGCGATGGAAAGCGGAAATGAATTGGTACCGACTTGCAAAGTCTTGTCTATGGATGCCTCCTTAACTACTTCATCCACCCGCCCGTTATTGATCGTCGCTACACGGCCATTTGTCCTATATGTTTCTATCCTATCCCCGATTTTACTTATTAAATTTCAAATTTTCTATTCGAGTTGAGTCAGCCACTTCATGCGCACATCTAACGATTCTGTAAAATGTTAACAGTTCCGTTTAGTAGTGGATTTGTAATCTAAGATTTTCTAAGACTTCCGTAACCTGTCTAAGATTTCCTCGTTCAATGTCTTCTTGAGTAATCCCGAGGCCTGTGGCTTTCTCAAATCCTTTGTCGGGTGTGTTCCTAATCCTGTACACAATCGTTAACGTTCTAAATCTAGTATCACCGAATTGGGCTACTGCCAAAATCACAGCTGTTTCTGTTGACACGATTGAGTACGCGACCGTGTCTTGAGTTGGTATTCCCTAACTAGGTAGCATTCGTCATGGACAATTCGAAATAAATCCTGCTGCACTACTCCGCAGAAAGTAAAGCAATCTAATTGCAGCCCCAATGCGATCCAAAAACACGCAGCTTTCTCATCCATCATTATTCCTAAGCAGCAAACGGTCTCGCCACACCTATTGGGCTTTCATCTAACTTGAAAGTCATCCTTGTCTGTCCGGTTTTAGCGTATCTTACTTTTCTGCTTTAAATTCTTTAATTTTTTGCTTCTAGCTGTCAAGCATCTTAATGTCATTCATTCTAGCTCGCAGTTCTTTGTATTCTTGTGCCTTGATTACAATCGAAATATTGCCGCCGAATGCGACGATTTCCTACCTGGAGCGGTGAACTTAAATATGTACTTGAACATATTCTTCCAGATACTTGGATCCGATGGTGATTTTCGCGGACAGTTACGTTCAGCTACCCCACTGTCGAGTTGGTCCATAAGAGTTGTTCCATCACCACAGTACGATTTTGAGATCGCTTCAAGATCTCAAGTTGTTCGGACAGCCTGCTGATAACTCTTAACTACATATGATCACTAAGCATTAACGAATGTAATACCTAATCCTGGTCTCTTTCATCTAAGCACGTTAAAAGCTAATTAATTTATATTGTACGAATTTCCTTTTATTCTCCTGCCATATAATCCCCTATATTCTGGATTTCTACTTTGTTAAAACCTGTGTAACTAGTGGTTGATGCATGACTCTTGATCTTCTTTTAACAACTTTTATTTTTGATCTTCTTTTTCTAACCTCCTCTGAAAGAAGTAATTGTTAATTGGACTGTATGTACAATGTAATGAGCACCAATCATCCTTACCGTCAGTAGAGGAAAAAATCCTGATTTGGTCGTCGTTAGCTATTTTGTATAACACATTTAGCTTGGTTTGTGTTTAGAAAAGACGAGGGATTACCATTAGAAGTAGTATGGCATAGATGCAATATGTTCTAGAGGTAGTTCTGATCTGTACCAATATCTATGGTGTCTACGCCCAACTCTTCAATTGGCATTCGATGCTTGAAAACTTCTTCTAAAGGCATCTCAATACAATTCTCTAACAATTTTCAAATTTCAAAAAAAATCGCGAGGTGGACAAAGTTACCGGCACCCTCAAAAATCTGATATTTTTTTAATTTAACTCGCTATAAAAAAAACCGAGTAGCAAAAATTTTCAAATTCACACATCTTACAGTTCAAGTACATACATAGATTTTACATGCAGTTCACATTTCAAAGAATTTCTTTTGTAAAAAAAAAAATAACTAATTGTTTCAACAGGAAGCGCAATCTTTATTTCTTAAATAACTTGGTAGCAGTTACAAAAAAGAATCTTAAAATTCTAAATATGCACAAAAAATTGTGTTTTTTTATCTATCTTATTCTAAACAATTTTATTTCTAAGGACAAAACATGGCAGTTAATTATTTATATATGAGATCTGAACCTCTGCAAGTTCGTGTTTTACATAAATATACTTACTTCTTATTCGTTACATAAAAATATTTATATATAAATATTATTTAAAGCCATGTGCTTAATATACTTATTGGAATTGTTAAGTAATACACAAAAGAAAGTTTTGCATGACTTGTGATTGGCAATGTACGGACATTGGTGATTGGATCATTTGGTTCATGGTACTTGCTGGGGAATGAACCATTTGGGTGCTCATTGGTGAAGGAACCATTTGGTTCATACCTTGCCCGGGCGACATTAAAGGATTAGGAATATTGTTGTAACTTGATGGGGATTGCATTTGTGTGTAATGATCAAGTGTCGCTGCTGGTGATGGGAGATGAGTCATCATAGGTCCAGGACTTGCCATTACTTGATTTCTTGTAGCTGATGTGTGTAGCTTGATTAAAATTAAATTGTGGTGAAGGCTGAGATTTGGTTGATGAGATTTGATTGTGGCGAAGGAACCATTCGATTCGTTTGGGATAAATTTGTTTTTTGTACTGGAGGGTTATTTCTAGATTCAGTCCATTGCGTATTTGTGTTAGCATCGCTTTGATGCGTATCAGCCTCTTGATTTAAGTAATGCATCATTTCATCCGGAATAATCAATTTATTCTCAATCATTTCTCCTTCTCCCATTTCATCCAGAACAACCGCTTGATTAGGATGAAGTTCCCCGGAACTAGTTGCACCTTTCAAAGGTAACAAAGAAACCGAAGCTGGTCTTGGTGGAGGACTTTTGCGATCCGTTATTGTGTGGCACGGCTCTGACATTCTTCTTGAATCTCCACCTGTTGTAGTTGCAGTTGAAATTTATGTGTTCACATTGAAGTTTACCCAATATTATTGAAGCGCGGTTTGTTGGAGGGATGTATTTTGAGTCTGTAATATTAAATTACTTGGGGCTGTTGAAGGAGGTGGTTGTAATTGTTAGAGTTTCCCTGCTAATAAATGGAAAGGTGGATGTGGTAATGCTGTTCCTCCTGTTGTTGCTGTGGACATTTGACTTGATCTTCTTGAACTTCCAGCTGATATTGGGTCGTAAACGAGCTTGGGCCATTAAGATCAGGCTTCATACTCGCCTACAAAGAAGATCATTATTTTCAAAAAATTAAGTAAGTTAAAACTGAGAGAGAAGCCAAACTAGTTTTTCGACTCATATCAGCATTTTTCATGCTTCCATAATAACTACTAACAGTATCAATCTAAAGCAATAAAGAACATTTTAATTTCGTTTTTATAAACATTTTCAAAGAAATATTACCTCTAAATCAGCATCATAAGGCCAATTGGCTGGATCATCTAAAGGCCCCGCTCTATTAGAAGGTGTAGCATCCCCAGAAATATCATCAACACAGCCACCAGCAAGTTGAGTGATTCCCAAAGGACTTCCTTGTTGTTGTTGACCAGGAGAATTTACATCAAACTAATAATTAAAACAAACTAAAATACATAAATTAAGTCTAAATAAACAGTTTTACCTCTGATTTTATGCTAGGACTACTAAGACTTGCTGTCTTGTGACTTTGCATATCTTCACTTCTGGGACTTGAATCCAAACCGCCAGTTCATCTTCAGACATTTTGCAATCTTTGATAAAGTTTATTAATTAATTTTTGTGGATACTTATTTTGTTCTGCGATATTATAGATATATTTTATTTTCTTATTTTTGTTGGTGTTAGATAATGGATATTTCAATACTCTGTTTATTAAATAATGAAAACCTACCATTTTATGTGAGAACGTATGTGCGGAGTCGAAAGGAATGATAGTTGGTATTACTATAGGTTTTCGATATATATTATACTCAATATCTGTATTTTGTCGTGTTAGGTTTAGATCTAAAAACATTAAACGTTTCATCTCTCTCTATTTCTAAGGTAAAGTTTAAATTTTTATGTATTCTATTAAGATATTCATGACATTTTTTTAAGTTTTCTTAGAAACAATGAACACGTGGAAAATGAAATTTGAGAAATTTAGCTAGGTAGTAAATCTTTTTGCCTCTGTGATATTCTACTAAAAACTGATTTAGTTTATAAGCTTTAGGGTTGATGATCGAAACGATTTTTAATGGGCACTGTTTTTTGATTTTGTGACAGACTTTGACTGTTTGAGTAACACGTTTTGACCAATACAAGTACAGTATAAGCTCGTAAGCAATAAACGTTAAGTACAGTATTGAACATACCTTATACTAAACCTTTTTTTCATGATATCCAGAACTTCCACACATTGTTTAATCCGTCATTGTCAGTAATTTTGTAGTTTAAATCTCGTTTGCTATTCCAAACGAATTGAAAAATCCATCAGTATCAACCCGTTTACGTTTCGGCGTTTTTTAATAAACATCTGTTCGATGATGTTTCTTGGTTTAAATTGCACTTATCCGGTGACTTTGTCTTGTTCTTTAGTATTATCTTTAAACTTTCTTCTAATCTTAGAAATAATTCAGAGCTTAGAAAAGTAATTATTGTCAATGGTTTGGCTGTTGATGAGGACATGTGCAAGTTAGTATAACACTGACAATGAGTATGGCTTTTTATATGCGTTGGAAACGTATGATTAGATTCAAAAAGTTTTGTAACTTGTTCGTTTCCAAAATTATGTTGTTAAGAACTGCCGATATTAGCTACTCTTATTTTTTTAGCATCTGTTTGTGATTTTATGTGGGTTTCTTTGATACGACGTGAATGTACAAGAAAAGGTAGTGCTTTTTTTCGAACGTACGATGTGATAAAAAAATCATATAATCATTAGCTATTTTCATTATCTTCAATTTCCGAAGTGGTATTGTTATCGTCATTTTCATTTTTGCCTTAGCTCTTTTTCCATCCTTCATTAAGCTGAATTTCTATCTGAGATCACTTCTTCAATAAGAGATTTAATACATCATTGCCTTTTCTCAGTAATTACTACTGGTACAGTTGTGTACTAATGTGTATTTTAAATTCTTCACGCCATTATTATTCTTAAAAAGTATTACTTTTATTTAAATGCACCTTTACCTAGACAAAATATTTTTTCCGGATTATTAGACTATTATCGTCCATTAAACGGATTTTGGCTTGATCATTTCTGTAAAGAATTTATTAATACCATATTAATGTTCAATTTTGTCTTTACAGTATTGCTAGAAGACCGATTTATCCAGGTAGAAAATCGGCCCGATTCAAAACGATACTAAACACAAATACCTACTCCAAAGAATCGAACGCCTCAGACGAAGGCAACACTTCAGAATACTCAAACTCGCCGTCCAGTAAATCGTCAACGTTGGAGTCGAATCCAGAATTAGCTCGATCGATAAGCGTCCATCATCACTCGAAAAGGACCAGCGGAAGCAGTAGCAGCAGATATGAAGCATCTTCAGACAGTGAATCTGAAGATAACGTTACCATTGCGACCCAAATAGATTTTAGTACAAGCATTGTTGGTCGAACCGAAAATATTAAGAGAAGAGAGAGTGAATGTATCTAAATTTACTAGTTTTTGATAAGGTATTTTTATGGACTGAAATTTCAAAAAAAATGTTATTAAATTAAATTTTGAAAAAAGTAAGTAATTAATTCTGGAAGTAAATTTTAATGTTTAATACGTAATTATTGGAGACATATAATAATTGCAATAATTTAGAAACTGTTTATTTTTTAATTTGTAAATATCTCTTATTTTCTTTTTATTTTTTTTTTTTCTTTTGTTGCAAATGTGCAGCAATATTAGTGATAGATAGCGGCATTTGGCTGCTCATTGAAGTACGAAGTAATTGAAATTATTTAATTGTGTTTTAGCAATTAGGAAGTGTTTGTATAAGAAATTATTGATAATCGAAAATGTCGTCTATTTACTAATTTTGAGATTAAATAAGATAAAAGTTGTTGGTTAAAAACTTAAATTGTAATTAATGTTTTGTGAAAAAAGAATTAATTTAATAGCTCTTCAATTTGGAATTTATACAAAAAATAGTGCCTCTGCAATTTAAAAATTTTTTTATGCCTTTTGAAACAATTCTTACTGATAATTTTTCTTACGACTTAATTTGAATTAGGAGATAAATAAAAAAAATCTCTATACTTAATAATTATAAATTTAATATTTATGACTACAAATAGTTAAATTATAAATAAAACAAAATACATGCAAACATCATTTATGTAGTAATTTGATTTTAGTAATGAAAATCGACGTATATATTTTTTGTACATTTTTATTATTGTTTTACCTATTTATTGTTAGCCTATTTCTGTTATCTTTTATTGTGTTCGTTTCATCTCCTTTTTAATCTTCGTTGGCAGCCCGTCGATAATCCGTCGTTGCCTTGGTACATTTGCTAATTAGCAGTGATAAGAGTACAGAGAGAGATTATAAGAAAGAAATACAAAAGAAAATTTAAAGATTGCAAAACTATTTTGTCGCCAATTTTTCTAATGGATGATATTTTTTGCGAGCGATATTTTATTGCATCTTTGTAAAATGTACAAATTTGATAATATATTTGCGAAAAAGGCGTGAAACGGAGCTAAATACATATTAAGGCACCTTATATGTATACACATTGTTAAAATGAAAAATTACCATAACATACCAATTTTGAAAAAAAAAAGAAACGAGTATTCTTGTAAGATATTAATTAAAAAGTAGATTTAAAGAAAAAACATTAGTTCGTGTGTGTCAGTTTTTTTATCTGATGTTTATAATTATTATTATAAAATCGTATGCCTCTGCCGTTTGTTTAAAAAATAAATTTATTGAAACGAAAATTAAATATGTTTTATCTTTCCTCTAACTACTAAAACTTTAACACACCATAATAAAACAAAAAATAATTTAGGTGAGCTAAATATTGGTTTTATTTTTATTTATTCAATTTGGGACGCAAACAGGGAGAATATCAGCAGGAAAGCATCCTCATTAAGAACAATTCAATATGGTAAAGTACATAATAAGAAAAAAAATAATAAGAAAATAAAATAACAGTAATATTAGCAACAATACTCGCAAAATAATAAAACTAACAAAAAGTGAAAAATTTGTATACAGAGTGTTTCTGTAAGTCGTGGCATAATTTTAATTAATAACAATACATTTTTGATCCAAACCCGTAAATGGCTAATATATGGGCCTTCAAAGATAAGAAATGTTTAAACATTTTCCTAAATATTTTCAATATGCTTTGTCTTAGAAAGATAAAATTTGGCAATGTTATCATGAGAAATCGCTTAAGATCAGTTAAGAATGTTCACAAAGGTGATATCTCAATTTGACATCAAGTATAATACCAAGATCCTTAACTCTGTCAGTATAGATAATAGCTTTACGTTTCCATGTAAACTTTATTTTTGGGCATTTGTCATAACTAAGATAAAGTTTGTTAAAGTGACAATACTCTTGCAGACGTTTAAGGTCCTCCTGAAGCCTTAGCAGCTAAGACTTGAGCGGATTCTTGTAAATATTTTATTATCATCCGCATAGAGCAGGAATTTGGTGAATTTAAAACAAAAGAAAGGTGACTTCCTTGAGGATCTTGACTGCCTGACTGCTATCCGCGAACAATGCCATCTGGAATGTTAAAGGAGGACAGTTTTTGTATAACAATGCTATGGTCAACCTTGTCGAAGTCTTTAGTGTAATTAGTGTAAATTGCGTCAACCTGTGAGTCCTCATTTAAGGCAGAATGGATAAAGTTAACATAGGACACTAAGTTAGACTCAACCGATCGTCCAAACAAGAAACCATGTTGTTCAGTAATGATAGAGTGAGCAACTGAGCGGCTAAAATAATTGTGAACAATTTTTTCAAAAATCTTGGGAATAGCCGACGAGAGAATGGAAATCGGGCGGTAATTTGATACCAACTGTCTATTTCCGGATTTAAATATTGGAACGACAACACCAAGGTGCGACACCCGAGACACCGAAAACCATTGAACTCTGCAAGCGCACAAGATATATCAGGATCTGAGTTCACAACTGACCTATCAGTGGAAAACATAGCGCAGAACCCTTTTTGGTATTCATAAAAGACCAGATACCCTTGGGATTTTCCAAAACCCCCGCCTGAACCGAGTTCAAGTAAGCTCTGTAATCAGCCCCTATCAGCATCTTATCACTGTTATGGTTAGTAGATTTCCATTTTTTACGACAATGCAGCGTTTCATTAATAACTGGAATAGTTGAACCAATGAGGAAAGCGTTGCTTAGGTAGAATGCGCTTAGGAAGATCACATTATTAGGAAGATTACATTATTAACGCGGTTATGTTTAAAATTCGAGTCTGCTTTCTGTTTGAATTTATTATTGTATTAGATGAGGTGTTTGATCAAAATTGGAAAAAATTTTATAACATTCAACCTCAATTCAATAAGAATATTTTAAGGAATCTTTCACTCAGAACTTAAATATAAATTTTGAAATATTTCGAATATACGAAGTATATAAGGCGACCTCATTTTGATCAAAAATGAAGAGATTTTGATGTTTTGTTATTCGGAAATGAAAGAAAAAAATATACTTTTGAACGACCTGTATTTCTTAAAAAGTCGATTTCAATCGTAAACATGGTAGGGACGAAATCTATATAGCCGTAGCCTAGTCACGCATTGTGGTGGGTAAGAAACTTCAAGGAAATTTGTCTAATCAGCAGATGTCTCTGCGCGGTGATCTTGTGACAGTTGAGTGTGCATCGCGAGCAACGATCATGGGATTTTTTTGCTCTAGTCCGCAAAGTACTTCATTTGGAAAACTATTGGTCTTCTAGCTATGTTTCCACCACCAGTAAGAAAAAGTGTAAGTCATAAATCAAGTCATAAAAAAAGTTAGTACCCAGATATATGCATGCCTGCATTAATAATTCAAAAGATTTTTCCTTTTATGTACTTAATTTTCTCTCCGGAGAGATATGATTGTTTATCAAGCTAAGTTCTATTTGTTGCTTTACAAGTAAAAGAGCAGAAAGTAGTTGATTCGTATCATATTCTTATCTTTTTTTCGGTAACACTTTTCATCAAGGCCGGATAGAGACCTTAGTTGAGTTGGTGTACATTTACATAGATTTAACTAAGGCCGTTCGTCCACCGAGAAAACCAATACAAGGCGATTGGTCGTAGGTGACTAATTGCGAGCGATTAGTCGCGTGTGTTTTCGTACACCAAGGAAACCATTGGAAACCATTTAAAAAGATGTCATCGTCGGATGAGGATGTAGTTGCTGGGTATATTTTTTGAGAGGAGACAGTACGATTAGCCACATTGTTGCAGATACTACAGCTACTATATGGGAAGCCTTATATCCACGTTACATGAAAGTTCCTTCCAAAGAAGAATGGCTCCGAATTGCTGACCGTTTTTACGAACTTTGGAATCTGCCAAATTGTATTGGCGCGATAGACGGAAAACATATCCGTATTCAGAAGATTCCTAAGTCTGGATCAACAAATTTTAACTACAAAGGATACCATTCGGTTGTTCTAATGGCAGCTTGTGATGCTGATGCATGCTTTACAATGATTGAAGCCGGGCATGCTGGTCGGAATAGTGATGGGGGAGTATTTAAAGCTTCAAGAATGGGTCGTTGGCTGCAAAGAGAAGGAAATAGGCTAAATTTGCCAAATAACCGGCAACTTATTCATGATGAAACGGGAGGGAATTTTCCGTTTTACTTTGTTGCAGATGAAGCATTCCCAATTGCGACGTATATGTTGCGTCCCTACCCAAGAAGAGTATTAAATAATTGCAAGAGAATTTTTAACTACAGATTAAGTAGGGCACGCAAAAGCATTGAATGTGCATTTGGAATGATGAACAGTAAATTTGCAGTTCTTTCCACACCTATAGCAAGCAAGAATATAAAAACTGTCAATAACATACTCCGAGCTGTTTGTATTCTTCACAATTTTATTAGAAAAAGGGAAGGCATTTTATATCGACCAACATTTAACTTGGAAGATGATGAAGAGCAAAATTCGCCAGAGGAACTGCAGCAGGCTATAAACGAGCCACTTATATTTCCACAAAGAGGTTCTGGATATAATTTTAGAGATTACCTGGCACACTATTACTGTGTCCCATGAATTTTTGTTTTATACGCTCGCTTTTAAACATAGCTAAGTTAATACTACGATTAATACTACTATTAATATTACTATTAATTATTAAATACTTTTACTACTATTAAAGTTTTTGTTCTTACCTGTGTCCCCAACCGTCTTTCCTACTTTCTCCCATGCGGCATCCACTATATCCCTTTTAGAATAGACTTCTAGACGATAGTTATATAAACAAGGATATTTCTCGATCTCTTGCACGAAAGTGATATTTAAGTTTTGTTCATTTTTTGATAATGATCGAGGCATAATTTTATTTCAAGTAAAACGAATGCACTTCTATATGGACGAATAGAAAAAACAACCACTGCTACCTCAACGGTCGTAAACAACTGATTTTAGTTTTTGAGAAAATAATTTTTAAACCCCACCTAATATTTTATGATTTTTCTAAGGTTAGTAATCTTCGATAATTTTTAAAAAATCATCGGAAAAACAACCACTACTACCTCAACGGTCGTAAACAACTGATTCACGGCGATCAACCAGTTTGGTCGTACGCGATCGGTTGCCATCTACAATCGGTGATAGTCGCTGCTGTGAACGAGCTACTACTAATTTTAATGTAATAGTTGTGTTATAACTAATCTCGCCATTGGTTGCTTGGTCGCGAGCAACCAGTTGCCTCATAATGGTTTTCTCGGTGGACGAACGTCCTAAGGGTACGTTTATGTTGGAGCTGCGATAAACGATGAGAGCAGCGCAAAATTCATTTTTATGATACTATGCAGTATGGTGGAGCTGTGATAATAGCGACGATCTCTGCTGTGTAGGTGACGTTTCATTTATTATATTACATAAAAGCAATTTTTGGAGAATTTCATCATCTTTACAAA